CTTGCGCAAATACCTGCCCTATTCAAGAAAGGTTATATCCGTTTTACATAAAATACAGGCAAGATTAGATTTATAAGCAGAACCATAGCCCTAAAACACTTTTTGACTCCCCATTGTACCAACCTGTGCCAAAATATTGCCGAGATCACCAACATGTCGAACGGAATCATTTGGTGCACCATGAGTCATATTAGAAGGATTAAAGTGTGGGCCTGCAGCAAGACAACCATTTCCCAAATCTCCAATTTCGTGTACGTGGAAGCCATGGTACCCTGGGGTAAGATCATATATGCCGCCAGATATCTGTAAATCTTTATTTTTATTTTACACCTTCATATCGGGCAAATGACTAACAATAACTCCACATCCCATTTGGGCTAAGTCAACGATTCCGGAGAGTTTGGTGGGTTTGCCTCCAGGTTCAGCACGATAGATAATAGCACGGGCTCTGATAAATCCTTGATTGCCGTATTGGCAGCCGTTAGATAGATGTATAACAGTGGAGATTATAATAGCTTTAAGGAACATGCTAAAATTTCTGAAATTGATCAATTCATAGTGCAAGGCAATTGTAGCTGTCGATTAAAAATTCGAATAGTTCGTTTTCTGTAATTTATGCGATCGGTAACCTTTTTTTAAAAGCAAACAGCTCTCTGGAAAAGTAAGATTACAAAAAATGCAAGAGTTCAAACATATGGTCACCCAAAAATAGAGATAAAATTTAAGGTGTTAAGACAATAGTTTGGAGAAAAACTGCAAAATGGCAGTGAGTTAGAAAACGATCGAGACATAAAATGTGAAGTATCATTCGGCAATCAATCAGAGGAGGCCAAACATTTGGGTTTACTCGAACTCATGTTACCTTTTACTTACCGTGTATGGTTGTCCTCCTTTCATTGTCAAAGATTATGTTTACTCGCTGTAGTATTCGACTTTTTCTTGAAAGTGTTTTAAGGAAACCTGTACATGCACTTCTTTTGAGGTACAGTGGGCTGATGTGAGTTTCAACGTCACTCATTCTTCTAAAATTCAAAGAGAATAGCAACTACAACTCATAAATGAAAAATGAGTTGTTGAGAGATTTGAGCCCGTAGCAAAGTCCCCTCAGCAGAGATTACCTTAAGACAGCGTCAGGTGAACTCACTCCAAGGCAGGCAAGGTACAGGGGAACAATTGATTGCAAAGATCCATGG